GGGATCGAGTATAGGGGCTTACCCTTCGTATTGGAGTGCGATGGTATAGACAATGTGCACAAAGACGGAAATGACAATTCCAGCGGGACTTGCATTCCTGTAGAGGCTATGGTAAGTCATTAAGTCGGACTGGTCCATGAGAGAACTCACCAGAGTGCAGTAGCCAAGAAGCAGAGGGTGGATCCATTGTACATGGGGTCTCTAAGGACGTTGAAAGGGAAGCCTTCAACGCGGTGGTCCATAAGGATACCGAAATAGTCTCCAAGGTAGGTTCCTGAATGATTGTTTATTAGGAAATAGTTGGTCAATCATGCAATAAATTTACGTACCGGTGATCCCAAGTGCCCACGTGGAAGTCAACACAAGGACTTGTCCAGCAGTGAAAAGAACTGCTGCAAGGGGTTTTGCCAACTTGGGGTCGATGAGGTGGTAAGTTGGTTGATGTCCTAATGCCTCATGATATCTAAGTAGGGCAATGGGGTAAGCCAACAGGAACATTCTCGACCAACGAGCGACTTACAGGTAGTCACGGAAGATACCCAATGAAAAGATCGTCACAGCAAGGAAATAGCATCCGAGGTATGGCTTGCCACCTAGCAAACGCGTTATTGTCTTGTTTTTGTACTCTGTTTCCAAAAACTATCAGATAAAAGCTATTGTGCCTGTGATGAAATATTGCAATACGGACCATTCTGAGCAGTGATATTCCAAAATATGGGATTGAACGCAATAGCAGCAACAGATACCCATAAGGATGGCTGGGAGATGTCTATTAGGGATGAATAGGCTACCATGACGTTGGGATCGTTGAAGAAACAGAGTTGAGTGTGAGAAAACGTATCTAAATACTTAGTTTAAATCTCCGCTTGAAATGAGCCCTGAATCGGAGTTTGCCGTCTCATGAGGTAATCTGCTCGGCCATCAACGTATTCCCATCCTGCAACATCTCACTGTTAGAAAGGCTTTCATCCAGCACTAAGCTCAAGAGATTGGAAAAAAAACTCAGGGCTATTTCATACAAGACGCTGACTGGGACTCTGCGTCTAAATTGATCCTACTTCATGTTGACTCGAATTCTGTACGTCTATCATTAGAGTTGATATTTACTCGGTGATTAAGATCTCAAAGCTTATTCATCATTACTCCTATCATCAAGACAAAGGCCAGTCGCTACTTTGCTATTGTCAATTGCACGAACCAAAGCATGGAAATCCCAGAACCACCATCCCAGCTCCAGGATAGCTCGCAAGCGCGCGAATCACCGTTTGACAAACTTCCCAACGAAATCATCGCCCTTATATTCACTACAATATGGGAAACCCTATCCACCGAAGAAAAGTTCTTTTTCCCTCTATCGTACCCCCAGTTGGTCTCTCGCAGATGGAGGGAAATAACGTTATCCACTCCGCAGCTATGGACTACATTATATGTAGACAAAAGAGCGTCTTCATTTCTCCTCTTAAATTACCTCACCAGGTCCGGTAACATGCCACTTGATCTCAAGATTCTCCACTTGGACAGCTATTCCTTACTAGTTCCCTACGCGTCGAGATGGGGAAGCCTATCATTGTGGCTAGACCCTTACGACCCCCTCGGTTCATTACTCAGTCTGATTCCTTCAAACTCCATCTCCTTACGTCACTTCTCTCTGCTCGTTTCCGGTCTCCCAAACGAGGAAGACTGGATGATTGGCGACCGAATCGCCTTCCTCGCCCACAATCTCACAACTCTCCGGTTAATCCACGTCTCGGTTGACTGGAAAAGGATACCTAGAACCTGGACAAATCTCACAGAGATGGTCCTGGTTAGATATGGTCCGGATGTGAACGCGGAGGGCACAGACATAGCGAGCTTCGTTGAGGCACTCGGTGCTTGCCCAAAACTACGAACACTGAGACTCTTCAATCTCGTGTTTCAGAAAGACGCCATCATTCCAAGGATTTGCACCTCAAGCTCAGGAACCCCAGGGAGAATCGTGCTTCCTGAGTTACACGAGCTGGTACTTGGGGAGTTCTATCCATTTGAAATAGTTTTCTTGCTTTTCGAGATCGAATGTCCTCGGTTGCATCAACTTGGACTCGAAGCCGTCGCATATGTTGATGACTTCCAACCAGACATTGACTGGGATCGATTCACGAATAGATATCCTCACCTTCAGCAATTCGATCTTTGGACAGCCAACTATGCCTTCGACGGGCTACTACCCTTACTCCGTGCATTACCTCCCGTACCTATCTTGGGTATCAGAGGAGGAAATTTGTACGTTTCAGACGATAAATCCATCGATTTTGACATACTCGAAGACGTCTTTGAGAGCCTCGGTCATCTC